ATAATTTTAAATATTTTTATTGCATACATATTATATTATCATCGTTGTTATTACTATTTTAATTATTTTTTTATATTATTATTTTTTTATTATTCATTTTAATTAATTATATATTTGATTTTTATGGTCGTTTTGATCCCTTTGTATGATTAGGGTTAATAATTGTGGCACTATATTGAGTCATTTGGGGTTAAAGGTCGAGGAAACGTAACTCACTTGGCAAATCCGATGAAGTCTTCATGGTTGGTGTTCATATACGCCAGCTCGATGTCGATCAGCAGCAGCACCTGACGACCACAAAGAGGAAATCATGAAATGAAGAGCTGTTTAAAAGAGGTTTATATTAGACGTGACGCGGCTCACCTGTTGTTTAGTGCGGCTCTCGCGGTCGCGGATGTGCTGCGTGACGATCCGCTCCATCTCCTCTCTCAGCATGGGATACTGGGCCAGCTGTGACACAATCACACGCGCTTGTGATGCCAAACACCAGACACTCACCCGTATCACCAACACACACCAGAGTTTGCAACAGGATGCTACTACAGTAGGCATAAATAACCAAGGAACCATTTTTGAAAGAAAACCTGTTGCAAAGTCTACAGTATCAACACACTATTAAACATAATCTTACATTATATATGCATGTGAACAGAAAATGAGCTGACACTAAGAAACTGGTTTGCATGCATACATGCATGACTCTAAATTTCAGTGCATCACTGTAGTTAAAATACTTAATATTGGTGACCCTCTTAGCTTTGCAGTGTCCCATAATTGAGCCAAATCCAGGAGTTGTGAACATGAATCGTACTCAAGGGTATTAATAATGAGTCAACTGTTGATGTTGAATACTGTAATATTTGCAACATGTGCTAGAATTCGGAATTTCAGCAAAGGATCATTTGTAACTACACGTTTTTAACATGCAAACACGTAAAACTTGCATTATAACAAACATGCATGAAACAAAAACTCACACCGGAGTAATAATAATTGAACAGAACGATTTGAAAATAAATAAGTAGAGAAAAAAACTACCCCAAAAGTGCTTAAAGGTACAGGCAGAAAATAAAGACATAAAAACATATCACCAGTTTGAAGAAAAGAGATTAAATATACTGTACCTAATTCTTTTTTTTCTTTTTAGTCTGTTGGGACTTCCTTTTACTTCTAATCTAAATGTCTGTATGACCAGCTGATGCATTGGAACTTGTAGTCAGTGTGGAATCACACACACACACACACACACACACACCACTACACCAGCAGAGTATTTGGGCTTGCTGTGCCTCAGACTCAGGGATGCACTGATGGCGTCTCGCAGTCAAACATCACATGAGCAGGGAGCAGTAGAAATTAGAGTTTCTAGAGGAGCTACAGGCGAAACGAAGGAGATGAAGGTTACTGAGAATAGAGGCGGATTCACACAGCCTCAGCACATGCTGCATCCGTTTATATCATACAATACAACCGAATCAACTCGGACGACATTACTGACAGTCCACACTTCATGTACTCGCCTTTGTGTCGTCCCAAACACGTACGATGCTCATTTTTTCTAACACAAAAGGAGAATCAGTGAAAAATCTTCATGCAGCTCTTTTTGTGTCAAGCTCCAAAAACGACATAAAATTGACTGAATTATTGTGTTTTCCTCATTCGTGAATCGAGTTGTAATGATGCATGTGTGCAACGTTTGAGTAAGCTTCAATCTGAAGCAAATCATTTGTTCCTCACACAAAGCGTCATATGATTGTTATCTTACATATATAGTGCTTTTATGAGCTCTATTTTGGAGCTTGAAAATCTCCTTTTGTGCTTTAAGGAAAAAACAACAATATAAGAGTTTGGAAGGTGAAGGTGAGTACATTTTTTGGATGAGCTTTTTCTTTAACTTCTGTTTTTTAGACAGGCAGAATAAGATGTTGGAGGGATGATAAAATGATGAAAGAGGAGAGAAAGAGAGACACAGAGATGTTCTGGTGTGACGGTTAGTCTGCTGGTGTAAGAAGATCTTCCAGCCTGAAGCATCAGTTATTCCATGAGAGTCAAACAGAAGAGACGAGCCACAATGACGTTATTCTCACGCCAGAACTAACACACACACACACTGACAGAACCAACATTAACTGAGAGAACGCCACACGAGGGAGCATGCGTCATTAAAACAAAACTAAAACCGGGGACTTTGGATAAAATCTCTACGGTTCTGTAAAGAAGGACACAAGTACTTAGTAGTGCTGGGCGGTATGACCAAACATTTATATCACGGTATTTTTCAAAATTATACCGGTTTCACGGTACATGACGGTATTTTGTCTTCATGCGTGACCGGGAATACTACTAATAATATAAACATAATAATTATTATTTAATATTATATATTAATATCATTTAATGTTAGTAATAATAATTATATAAAAAAATTTTTTTAATATTTTTATATTATTTATAATTAATATTAACAGTTTAATGTTAGTGATAATACTAATGATAATAATAATACTTATTAATTAATAACATTATATATTATTTATAATGAATATAATTTAATGTTAGTAATAATAATAATTATTATTTTTTTTTATTTGTATTTTATATTATTTATATTAGTATTTATTTATTATTATTTATAATTAATATTAACAGTAAAACATTTTGCTATTATTATTATTATTACTCTTGTTATTATAATAATAATTGTGGCACTATGTTTGGTCACTTGATGTCCAGTGAACCATGTTAGAGGTCCAGGAAACATGAATCGCTTGGCTAATAATAATGTTATAATTTTAAATATTTTTATTGCATACATATTATATTATCATCGTTGTTATTACTATTTTAATTATTTTTTTATATTATTATTTTTTTATTATTCATTTTAATTAATTATATATTTGATTTTTATGGTCGTTTTGATCCCTTTGTATGATTAGGGTTAATAATTGTGGCACTATATTGAGTCATTTGGGGTTAAAGGTCGAGGAAACGTAACTCACTTGGCAAATCCGATGAAGTCTTCATGGTTGGTGTTCATATACGCCAGCTCGATGTCGATCAGCAGCAGCACCTGACGACCACAAAGAGGAAATCATGAAATGAAGAGCTGTTTAAAAGAGGTTTATATTAGACGTGACGCGGCTCACCTGTTGTTTAGTGCGGCTCTCGCGGTCGCGGATGTGCTGCGTGACGATCCGCTCCATCTCCTCTCTCAGCATGGGATACTGGGCCAGCTGTGACACAATCACACGCGCTTGTGATGCCAAACACCAGACACTCACCCGTATCACCAACACACACCAGAGTTTGCAACAGGATGCTACTACAGTAGGCATAAATAACCAAGGAACCATTTTTGAAAGAAAACCTGTTGCAAAGTCTACAGTATCAACACACTATTAAACATAATCTTACATTATATATGCATGTGAACAGAAAATGAGCTGACACTAAGAAACTGGTTTGCATGCATACATGCATGACTCTAAATTTCAGTGCATCACTGTAGTTAAAATACTTAATATTGGTGACCCTCTTAGCTTTGCAGTGTCCCATAATTGAGCCAAATCCAGGAGTTGTGAACATGAATCGTACTCAAGGGTATTAATAATGAGTCAACTGTTGATGTTGAATACTGTAATATTTGCAACATGTGCTAGAATTCGGAATTTCAGCAAAGGATCATTTGTAACTACACGTTTTTAACATGCAAACACGTAAAACTTGCATTATAACAAACATGCATGAAACAAAAACTCACACCGGAGTAATAATAATTGAACAGAACGATTTGAAAATAAATAAGTAGAGAAAAAAACTACCCCAAAAGTGCTTAAAGGTACAGGCAGAAAATAAAGACATAAAAACATATCACCAGTTTGAAGAAAAGAGATTAAATATACTGTACCTAATTCTTTTTTTTCTTTTTAGTCTGTTGGGACTTCCTTTTACTTCTAATCTAAATGTCTGTATGACCAGCTGATGCATTGGAACTTGTAGTCAGTGTGGAATCACACACACACACACACACACACACACCACTACACCAGCAGAGTATTTGGGCTTGCTGTGCCTCAGACTCAGGGATGCACTGATGGCGTCTCGCAGTCAAACATCACATGAGCAGGGAGCAGTAGAAATTAGAGTTTCTAGAGGAGCTACAGGCGAAACGAAGGAGATGAAGGTTACTGAGAATAGAGGCGGATTCACACAGCCTCAGCACATGCTGCATCCGTTTATATCATACAATACAACCGAATCAACTCGGACGACATTACTGACAGTCCACACTTCATGTACTCGCCTTTGTGTCGTCCCAAACACGTACGATGCTCATTTTTTCTAACACAAAAGGAGAATCAGTGAAAAATCTTCATGCAGCTCTTTTTGTGTCAAGCTCCAAAAACGACATAAAATTGACTGAATTATTGTGTTTTCCTCATTCGTGAATCGAGTTGTAATGATGCATGTGTGCAACGTTTGAGTAAGCTTCAATCTGAAGCAAATCATTTGTTCCTCACACAAAGCGTCATATGATTGTTATCTTACATATATAGTGCTTTTATGAGCTCTATTTTGGAGCTTGAAAATCTCCTTTTGTGCTTTAAGGAAAAAACAACAATATAAGAGTTTGGAAGGTGAAGGTGAGTACATTTTTTGGATGAGCTTTTTCTTTAACTTCTGTTTTTTAGACAGGCAGAATAAGATGTTGGAGGGATGATAAAATGATGAAAGAGGAGAGAAAGAGAGACACAGAGATGTTCTGGTGTGACGGTTAGTCTGCTGGTGTAAGAAGATCTTCCAGCCTGAAGCATCAGTTATTCCATGAGAGTCAAACAGAAGAGACGAGCCACAATGACGTTATTCTCACGCCAGAACTAACACACACACACTGACAGAACCAACATTAACTGAGAGAACGCCACACGAGGGAGCATGCGTCATTAAAACAAAACTAAAACCGGGGACTTTGGATAAAATCTCTACGGTTCTGTAAAGAAGGACACAAGTACTTTTTGGATCTGCTTTTTCACTATGGCCTCAAAGGCCAGGTCGGGGGTGAACAGGCCTGTCCTGTAGAGGAAGTCATGGAGGAAGAGGAAGAAGAACGACAGACAGACAGACAGCACAGAGGAAAGAGAAGGCAAGTCAGACGTTTGGTTTCTCCTCAAGCCATTCAACAGCCCCGAGACAGAAGCTTCCAGAACGCAGCTGTGCGAACCAAAGACAGTCCAAGAGTTTGATCGAATTACACTCGCAGGAGAGCGGACTGCCTTTAGCTGCATCTCAGCCTTCCTCAAAACCTCTGCCTCTAAATCACGGAGAGTTTGGGACGCTGAGGTCTGCTGGATGAGCCCATCCTTCATCAGAACAAAAGCACTGTGTTGGGTTTTGGATGCTATGCTGTAAGAAACGATCGCAACTATAACTATGTTAATTGGTTTACAGTGATGGTGCATTCGGGTCATGTTGGAAAGATTTCGAAACTCAGGATTTTTCGAAACTCAGGATTTCTCAAGGCCAGTGAGAAAATATGCAATGGATGCACATTCTGTATTAATAGTAACGTCATCTTATAATTTACAATGAAACCCCGTAAATGCACATTCCCAGAATCACATTTGAGTTTTTTTGAAACATCCACGCTTCTTGGTTTCTCTTACTAGTTATGTACACTAAAAAAAAAAGATGGTGTAAAAACAAACTGTACATTTCACGAAGAAATGGCAAAAAAAAGATAAATAACACAAGTTCAGAAGTAAAAATAATCTTAAAATAGTATTAAAATAGTGTTTTCTTGTGAAATGTACTCCAATAATCTTTGTTTTATTTGCAACTTTGAAAAATAATTTTTTACTCTCTTATTTGTTAAATTAAGGTTTATTGCATTATTTTAGTGTCATGTAGTGTAAAAAAACAAAAACAAATATATATATATATATTAAAAACATCATAAAAGTACATAACAAAATTACTAAAACTGAAACTGAAATAAAAATAAATTAAAACTAAATAGAATACAAAAAAACAAAAGCACAATATAATTACTGAAATTGAAATAAAAAAAATTTTAACAATACTAAACAGAATAATAACTGAACAGAATACTTTTTTTGAATGTGTAAATAAAACAAAGGTTTTTGGAGTGTGTTTTACAAGAAAATACTACTTCAGTCTTTCTACATCAACATTTTACATTTAATTCAATGTGTTACTTGCTGTTTCTTTGTATTTTTATAAACTTTACTAGCAATCTCTGAGTGACAATTGCTTCAAAGTAAAATAATGATATTTTTATTTGTGTGTCTGATATTATTAATATCTACCATGTGTGGCTTTCTCTTTTTACCACACGTGTTTTAAGGTGGGTGTCAGTACATTATAAAGATAACTGTAAAATTCACCGATTTTTTTTTTGTCACCAGCTTGGAGCAAAATCATCTAAATGAAATGGAAATCAAATTATGAACTACGCTCATCAAGCAGTGAAACCTCAGCATCCGCGGCCCTCCGTAATGCAGCCATTCCTCCCAGAATCCCTCTGTCCAAAGCTGCAGGCACACGAACACACACAACGCTCAACACCCACAAACCCCTGCGGCCCCGTGAGCGGGCGAGAGGCTGGCGGGGGTCAGAGGTGGCTCACAGCACTAGTTTGGGTCGATGGGAGACACATAAAGCCTCCAGCAGGCCTTTACCTTCTTGGTACACTGTCTAACGGTACTGACAAGCTCAGAAATGACCATGTCCACACATTTCTGGCACGGCTCTTTAATCTTCCCAATCTGCCTTTTCACAATGGTCTCAAAGGCCATGTCCGGCGTGAAGAGCCCAGTTCTGGCCGAACGACAGGAAAGAACAACAAGCGGAGGAGAGAAAGAAAAGGAGAAATTGGGCGGAAAGAAGAGTGTTAATCCAAAAGAAAGCCTGTAAGAAATGAATGAAGAACTGAAATAATGGCTCCAAATGTCCTGCTGAAGCTGTTTGTCTGCTTATAGTTTAAATATGTATAACATACTTAAATGTATCAAATTGAGTTACGTTTCATAATTTAATTATCACTGAAGCTCAACATATCATCAACAAAGCTAAAACAATGAGAACAGCTCCAGTAGAAAGGAGAAATTGGGTGGAAAGAAAGACGGAAAGGGTCTTATTGTATTAGTTTAGCATGTTAACTAATCAAATTATTGAAATATGTTTAACATTTAAACATATCAAAGCAAGTTCAGTTTCATTGTATGACTATCACGATGTTTGAAATCTCAAAACAATTAAAGCTAAAGCAAGAACGCTGGCGATAAACAGATAAAACAATTGAAATTGTGTGAGAGTGTGTGTGTGTGTGTGTGTGTGAGTGAGTGAGTGAGAGAGTGTGTGTGTGTGTGTGAGAGTGAGAGAGTGTGTTTGTGTGTGTGTGTGAGTGAGAGAGTGTGTTTGTGTGTGTGTGTGAGTGAGAGAGTGTGTTTGTGTGTGTGTGTGAGTGAGAGAGTGTGT